AAGGCTCAAGGGTAGAAAGATAGAATAAAATAAAGTCCTACATTGGGCTCAGTCTATGTGTCCATGCTGTCTGCGTTCAGCTTTCTTGGATTATTAACAAATGCAGTCACTGCTACATAATGTGAGAGAAAGAAACCTTGAAGACTCTCTGGAAATAATTGTGATGTAAGGAGGATTAATGGCTCATGATTTGATTGCCCTGCATAAGTTGTTCTATACTGGATGCACAACTCAAATGCTGTTGTCAGAGTGCAATTGGAAATGGCTGGTGACACAGAGATGAAAATGAGAAACAGGCTCCTGACCGGGCCTAATGAGAGCTGGTGATGAATTTGAGTCTGTGCACAATGGAGCCCTTTCACACTCGAAGGTAATTGAAATGTCAGATAATTCTTTATATATAATGTGAGGCTTGTTAATCCCTGCAAAAGTCTTAATGTTCTTTGTGCAACCGGGAAGAGAGATTTGGGGCAGTTGAGGGGAGGGATGGGGCTTCTCCGACTCAGATGTCCCTTAGCGAGGTGAGACCCTTGGACATTCAACAGCAATTTGGGGATTCGTTTTTACATTTCTGCAGGGAAGGGCAACAAGATTTTGAAGATTCAATCCACAAGCCCGCCCTCTGCTCATGGCGCCTCCCCGCTCCTGTCTGCCCTGGGGTACCAGGAGGTTTCTGGGAAGCACAGAGCACTTCTGGAATGAGTTTCTGCAATGATGGAGACCAGAGGAAGAGCAAGTCAAGATCAAGGATTGAAATGTGCATTGACGGATGCAGAAGTGATTGGAATGAGATGCCCATTACTCCCTTATAGAATGTTCCTAACGATTCTCTTGAGAATGGGTCTTCCAGTCTGTTAAGACATCACCTCGTCTTATGGAAATACAAGGACCTAAGCATGTGAAAATGGAGCATACACAAGGTCAATGCACGGGTGGAAAATGTCCTGCCTCCCAAATGATTAAAGAATTGCAAAGTAAAAATGAAAAAATAAACCTCACACAGAGCCCAGGCAGCATCTCGCAGGGCGCAAGGATGTGTGTCAGCGTGTGACACACAAGTCCCCAGTACATTCCCCGCAGGATGGAAATTCCACGTGGCCCAAATATCAGGTAGGGGAATGCAACAGAGACTGGCCTTCTCTTCTCCCACTTCCACACTGACTGGGCCACATTCTGTCCATTTTTTTCTTCTCATTAGATTCATATGCACCAAGTGTAGTCTGATCATTATGTTTGCTCTATGACACATGTTCATGGTGAGCCCAGGCATGACCCATTTGGTAACTTTGTTTATTTGTAAGCATGTAATAAGCATCTGTGAATCCATCTTCCAAAGTGAGAGCTAGCATTGCCCTTTCCTCAGGCCCTCCTCCCGCAGAGGCACCGATTTTCAATGGCACCAACTCTCCTCCTGCCCGGACTGGACCTGTGAGGTTCAGGTCCTTCTCCTGACTGTGGCCCATGGATGCACAAATGACACAAGCACTGTGTTGAACTCGTGGACAGAATTGTACAGAGTTCAACAAACACGCATGAAGAGAAGACAATGTGGGAAGTAGGAACAGGATCTGCTGGCTGCATTCATGACAGAGGAGCCATGTTGCAACTGTATCCTGTAGTTTTGCTAACTGCTGCCACGGGTAAAAACTGGGGAGAATGTTCCAAGGCCTCTCTTCATTATCCTCAGGGTATGTGTTATCCCAATACAGTTTTAGTTTAAAAACTAGATCACTTGAGAGGATGGATGGGGTTGGGATCAGTGGGGGGAAATGATGGAAAGGGTGACAATAATCAAGGTGGATTGTACTAATTGACATGTCGAATTAAAGCCCCTTTGTACACCTACTTAAGTAATTAAAAAAATAACATTACCAGATAACCCTGAGTAAAGAAGAGTCAAATACTGCTTGAATGCAGTAATCTTACTGCTGCTGTTTATCTGACATTCTGGGTATCTTGTATCTTATCTGATACTCTAACTTAAAGGGAGGGATGGAGCCTGCTAGGAGCCCCAAATGAGCCTCACATTGGGGTCACTGAATTCATTTAAAAATAACAGAAAGGGAACATTGGACAACATGACCTCGACGATCAAAACTGCAAGCTCCTTTTAAGAGTTTAGTTTCTGCCATCAATAAAAATGCTCACCCTGAGCCCATCACTGCTCCGTGCACTGCCAAGAAGGCTTGGAGATGCTCTACTCGGATCTCATTCATTATAGTCAATGCTTTCTTAATTTAATTTTACCATTATCTTTAAATAGCCATGAAAAGGGATTTCAATTCAGCAAGCCAATTTATGTCTACAATGCATGTTGATCAGCATGTGACTTTTCTTGATTGTAAAAGTATTGTCATTGCGTTTAGAAATTGGAATGTACATTTTTTAAATGCCCCCAATTGACCCAGCACCCACATTTCAGTATTCATTCTCTCCCAGCCTGTGTGTCTACACCCCTCTCTGCCTACACACTGCCAGGAGCCAGGGGGAAGCTTCGGCTCTGGGTAGCATTTAGAATTAAAAGGCAAATGTATTTACAGCTCTTTTTGTAAGAATTGCCTGCCCTTCAGACTGAGTAAAGGTGAGGGGAATACATGTGTAAGTAGGCCTTTGGCCCCTCCCCCACGCGGAGTGCTGCACTTGTGTGTTAAGAGCTGCTAGAAAGGAAAATCGATCCTGGAATGTGGAGTGCCTGTTCTTGTGACTTTTAATTAGGGCCCTGTGCTCCTCCTCCCCACGCTGGGCTTCTCGGTGGCTGTGGCGTGGCTCACGTGGCCTGGCATTGCACCTCAGGTTCAGCTGCTGAGCGGACAGGTGTCTGTCTCCATGAGGGACCCACATTCAGTGAAGGTAGAGGCACAGGTATCCACCCAGCTCAGCCACATACCATCTACTGCTGTTTCCCCCTCCCCTTCAAGAATAAACAGGTGTAAGTGGTGTCTGATTTAGAAAATACTTTCTCTAGTGTACGTCAACAGTTATGGCTTTGTTCTTCGTCTGTTTTCCACATGAACACGAGGCAGAGGCCTCCCGGAGTGAGGGAGGAAGGCCAGAGGTGTGCAGTGGTTTCAGGGGTTAAATTTCACACATTTCACAGTATTGTGGAATAGTGATACTTTGTTAAAGTCACAAACACATTTTAACCTTCATGGTGCAAATTGTCATTATCATGGTCTATAAAGTTTGTGAATTCTATGAGCTTTGACAATACAAATTATTTCTTCCACACCAGGTGATGATTACATTTCTTTCCTTTTGCTTAGTGTCAGCTGTTCCCTCTTTCCCTCTCATTCCCTCCCTCCCATCACTGTCTTTGGGTTGCTTAGTTCTTTTTCTTCTATGTCCAGCCTGCCCCAAATCTTGATGACTTGAGGATCTCTGCCATGGCCCAGGAGCCAGGGTGTGCCAGGGAAGGGTGGCTTCGTCAGTCAGATGGTACAGCAGAAGATGTTCCATCTGCTTCCTGCCTCCAGGCTGGTTTGAGCATCTCCACACCATCACAGTCACCCCCATCTGGACTATGGCCATGCACTTGCCTGCGGTGACATTAGGGCCGGCAGGGGCTGAGTCGCACTGACCACAGACCGGGCCTGTTGTGAGCATCGGGTACCCTCAGGAGCCTCCTCTGCTGCCCTTCTGAGGTCCTGCTGTCCAGCGGCCGTGTCTCGGGCTCCGGGGGTGCAGAAGAAGGAGGGAGGGAAGAGCTTCTCCAGCAGGCCAGCCGCCCTGGCCATCTGTCTGTCTGTTGTCTGTAGGAACTGGGGGTGGTCCAGGGTGTTGTGCTGCAGAGCAGTGACTCTGATCACAGATGTTGTGTTTATCCCGGGTGAGGTCAGATGACCATGGTCCAGAGAAATAGACTGTGACACATGTGCCTCAACGTGCAACCTGTGTCCATCTACACGGTTGAACTGGAAAGCCGATGACCGGCGCTAAGCCTCTTACACAGGATTTGCCGGCCTTGCCCCCCCACGCAGTCACCTCTGTCACGGCCCAGGCTCCAGGGCGGCCGGCTTTTCCATCACCAGCCCTCCAAGAGCGCTGTGACCACAGGGTCTGCTGGGCTCCGGCGGCGCTGCCCCCGGGCCCTGCGCTCGGCCCTGCGGGCCTTCACCCCCCCCCCTCCTCCCGCCCGGCTGCCCTGGGCTCCACCCGGGCTGAGCCTGGCCCCTGCCCCGCAGGGGTGAAGCCGGCCGCGGGGAGGGGAGGACTCTGCTCTGCCCAGCTGGCTCTCACCAGGGTCCCGCCTGGCTCAGGCCTAGAGCCACGGATGAAGCCACACTTGGTCCAAACCCGTGGCACCATGGCGCCTTGGGGCCTAAGTAGCTCAAGCCCGGTGTCCTCTCCCGGGACCGCGGCTGCTCCACACGGGACGCGGGGACCTCAGCCTGGCCCCGGCCCGTGGGCCGAGCCCCGGGGACTGGTTTGGGGAGGGGTGTGCAGCGGTGTGGAGGTGCGGGGCGGGGACCTGCGAAGGCTATCGGCGGGGTGGGGGGCGGCTGGGGGCCAGCAGGGCGGTCAGCGGGCACAGGCGCTCTGCGG